AGCCCAGGCTCCTGGGTCTGAGGGAGGAGCGGTTGAGGAGAGGAATCTGAAATTCCCTGTTCCCACTGAAGCGATCAGATATTCTTGGGTCCCTGGGGCACAGATGCCTGAAGTTCTGGGTGTTGAAAAGGGGCCCAGAAAGACAAGAGACCAATTCAGCCCCCTACATACACTCCACAGGTGGGGAGACAGAGGACCACTCTGACTCGGACCAGAAGGCGCTGGGCATGATGGGGCTGGTGCGGCGGGACACAGCCCTGCTCTTCCGAGACCTCCGCCTGGGTGCCTCCTCGTGGCTCAACTCGTTCCTAGAGCTGAGCAGGCACAAGTCCCACACCAACTCGGTCCCCATGGCAGGTGAGTGAAGCCCTCCCCTCACACACCCATCCAGGGTGGCCAGGAGGGACAGCCTGACACACCAGAAGTCCTGGGGGAAGAAAGGGGCTGTGCCCTGGGCACCCAGGGAAGCAGAAATCACCTTCCTGGTTCTGCCCCGTATCTATCCCTGGTCCCTACCACAAAGGCTTGATTTGCCACCACAGTCCACATCAGGAAACTCCAGGACTTCCTGTTGCCACCACAGTCCACATCCAGAAACTTCAGGACTTCCTGGAGTCGGGAAGGTCCCCCAGATTATCCCGGAGTCGCAGGAATTTTAGGATTTAGCTTTCCAAACAGCCTCTCCCAGAAATGCACTCTGAGGAATGACTCAGAAGGCCTGCCACGTATGCTGATTCTCAGGCCCCGGGAATGCCACCCAAATCGCTTGGGCCCTCAGGTGGGAGTCCAGCCCTCCTAGAATCTTTCCAGACTTTTAACTGAGGCCCATGGGGGTAATGTCCCCCTCCAGGGGCTGGCCTTCAAGCCTATGGTGGGGAGACCAGCAGACTAGACAGACCTCGTAAAGTGGAGGAGATTCCCAGCCTTGGGTGGGTGGCAGGACCCTCAGGCAACTGAAAATCACTTCCATCCAGGGATTCATTTTTCCCCCCACCATTTTTTAACATTTCAACCAACTTTCCATCTCTAGCAAATCAACATTATTTCCTAAGTAATAGGAATTGCATGTTCAAAAGTAAATGCAGTTCCTGTTATTCAGAAAATTATTCCAATTGGATGTGTTTTATTTTAAATTAAGTTTTTAATTTTAGGATATTCAATTAGATACAGATAAATACACACAAAAACAATTAAAAGGGATTTGAATTTTAGGCAGGTGGACCATTGAGCACTGGGGTTTTCCTGGTTGGATAAGGTGATAAGGGCAGCCCCTAGGGGCACACACATCAGTCTGGCTCTTTATGGCACTAAGTACTCACTGATTACTGGGTGATGTGGGCAAGTAACGGTATCTGTGAGCCTTGCTTTGCTGCTCTGTGAAATGGGTACAGTAAGAGAACCAGCCTCATAAGGATGTTGTAAGGACTGCATGCACCTCTTTGTGTGAAGCACCCAGTACAATACCTGGCACACAGTAGGTGCTCTTGGAAGATTCTGCCACCCCTGACAGGCTGTGCCCTGTGACTCTAGTCAACAGTTCTGTCCCAGTGACCCTCCAGGTCACGGTGCACTTATGCAGTTCTACTGATATCATCTTGCATTTTGCTTTCATGGATTTATAAAGATAAGTGAAAAAACTAAAAATGTGTGGTCCTAGCCCTAGTGGTAAGCAGCGTGGGTCCAATAAAATTAGTGGTGCTGAGGCCAAAGTGGGCACACCAGGCAGGCCAGACATGCATCTTTAGCATCATTTGAGTACTTGCTTGTCTGGTCACTCAAAGGGAAGGGATAAAACTGAAGAACACAAAGGAAATTTTGAGAGCAGATCTGTGTGGCTACAGGTGTAGGGTTCCTGGGAATCTAATATATCCCCCAAGACTCTTTTTAGCACCCTGTGAACAGAGCCTCCTTTCAAGCCATGTGGGCGTGCTCACTACCCCACTTTGATCCATTCATACCTTCTGTGTCAAGTGACCATAACAAGTTGGCCAGGTCTCATGCTGGGGCCAGGGAGGCGGCTAGAACAGGGCACAGGCCTGGTAATAAAACATTAATTCTGATATATTATGACCTCCCCGGGGATAGCAGTGCCTAATCCCATATTATCCCACTGAGTCCTCACCACCTCCTGTGAGGTTAAGGACTATTTTTATCCCCTTTGTACAGAGGAGGAAACTGAGGCTCCCAGAGGTAAAATGACTTGCACTTAACCTTCCCAGTCACACACACACACCCCTCCACTAGGACACAGCTTCACCTATAAGACCAGGTGACTCCTTCTACCTCCCCTTAGAGCTACAGCCTGGGGCTCCTGGAGCTCCCCACCCATTCCCAAGGAAGGAGTCTGGGGGAAGACTCTAGGCCTCCACAGCCCTAGGATGCAGCTCCTCCTCCAGAGGCCACTGCCCTTCCCATGACCTTCCCTGCCAGCCACCTACACAGCAGCCACCCACACACCCAACCAACAGGGCCAAGCGTATCTGGCCCAGACCAGCTTCCTGACCCTGTTCGTTTTACAGAGCCAATGCGGCGCAGCGTGTCTGAAGCAGCACTGGCCCAGCCGGAGGGCCCAGTAGGCACAGACTCCCTCAAGAGCCTGACACTGCATGACCTGAGCCTAAAGAGCAGCTCTGAGACATCGGAAACCCCCGATCTATCACTGTCAGCAGAGACACTTGGCCCCTCCACACCGTCGGATGTCAACTTCTTACTTCAGTCAGAGGATGCACCAGAAGAGGCTAAGGCCCGAGATGAGATGAGCACCAAGGACAGAAGTCGGGGCGTCGGGGCCGCTTTCCCTGAGGGTTTCCACCCAAGGCGCTCCAGCCAGGGCGCAACACGGATGCCCCTCTACTCGTCACCCATCGCCAAGAACCCCTTCATGTCACCGCTGCTGGCACCTGACGGCATGCTGCAGAGCCTGCCACCCGTGCACATCGTGGTGAGTGCCAGACAAGGACACTACACCCGCGAGGAGTGGGCGGGTGGGGTTCAGGTGCACCTGGGGAAGAAACCTCCCAGGAGGGGGAAAGGTAGGAAGCCCAGGGAGACGTGTGCCACCAGGAGGGAATGCCTGGCAACGGGAGGACGGAAGGGAGTCAGAGCTGCCATTTTCTTTTGCAATCTTGTTGAGCAGCAAGTGGCAGTGGGGCAGCCGCTGGGCTTGGAGAGTCAGGGAAGGGGAAAGGAGAGACGGTGGGTCTCTGGGGGAAGGGAGAAGCTGTGTAAAGGTCAGGGAGCCCAGTTAAACTCATTCTCCAACTCCCCCCCCCCAATGTCTCCTGCCTCTATCCACCCCCATGTCCATGTGTTTCCCCTTCCCTTCGTTTATCTACCCCGTGCCCCACCCCCCCGCGTCCCGCAGGCATGCGCTCTGGACCCCATGCTGGACGACTCGGTCATGTTCGCGCGGCGGCTGCGCAGCCTGGGCCAGCCCGTGACGCTGCGCGTGGTGGAGGACCTGCCGCACGGCTTCCTGAGCCTGGCGGCGCTGTGCCAGGAGACGCGGCAGGCGGCGGCGCTGTGCGTGGAGCGCATCCGCCTCATCCTCACTCCTCCCGGCCCCGCAAGGCCGCAGGTCTGAGCCGCCAGCAGGAGCCGGGCCGCGGGGAGATGAGGGTTGCGGTGGGCGACACTAAAAGCCTCTCGTTCCCATCTGCGCAGGTCTCAGTGGTGAATGCGCTCTAGGATTGGCGGCAGGATTGGCGGCGGGGACCCCTGCCAGGAGCTTCTGGCCTATCTGGCCCCTCCCTCGGGTCGGGCGGGAGGGGGCGGGCTGTGCCTTAAGTCGGAGGATGGCAAAGAGGGGCGGGGTGGGGGCCAAAAGCTGAGACCTGGGCCTGGGGGTGGGGGGCTGGGAGGGACGCACACAAACCAGCCTCCGAGAGGGCTGGACCTGCACTCCACTACTGCCTTCTACTGCTGCAGCGACCGCCGCAGGGGCGAGGGTCTGGCCCTACCTTGCTGGTCTGTTTGGTTTTGTTTATGAATAAAAGTATTTAATTAGTTTGGCCTCTCTCAAATAGGGTGGAGGTTTGCCCACCAGGGGGCAGCATCGGACTCTGCTGCTGCGAACCGAGAGAGTGGAAGGCTAGGGCCCAAATTCTGGGTCCTGAGGAAGGTGGGGTCTGCGGGCCTGGATTCTTGGGTGCGGAGGGACTGGACTCCCTTGCTAACACAGACCCACCTCCCCCTCACACTTAATCAGGTAGAGTATCAGAGGACTCTGAGTTCTCAACTCCCCACCTTTATAAACCCAGCCCCAGCGTCCACCAGGAAAAGAAAACCCACACTCCCTAGAGAACTAGAGCAAAGCTAACAGGAAACCAAAAACAACTAGTCACCCACGATTCTGGAAGCCCCAGCTCTGCCCAGCTGTGACAGTCACTCAGTCCCTCAACCAAGACTCTGAGGCCTCGCCCTTTTGTAGGCCCTGGGTTTGGAGCAGAGATGATTTCTATCCAGGGCCTGCCCTCAAGGGACTCAGGGATGGTGCAGGGAGAGACCACCCAGTCAGGCTGTCACGGCCCCCATGGGCTCCATCTGTGGTAGTCAGGGAGGGCTGCACATAGGAGGTGATCCAAACTTGACCTTAAAGGATGAGCACAAGTTTGCTAGGCAGAAGAAACAATGTTGTGAGAGCCAGTGGACAGTGATCGGGGTGTCTCCCAGCCAGAAGGTCAGGTGCAAAGTGGAGAGTGGCCTGAGGGGCCCGGAGTGGTCAGGAGCAGATCCTGAAGGGCCTGGAGTGCAATTTGGACTATAACTGGAGGGCTTTGGGAGCCACAGCAGGCTTTGAGCAGGGGAGGGACAGGATCAGCTCAACAGCACTGAAGAACCTGCTGGGACATTGGGGGATAGACTGAAAAGGACAAGACTGGAGCCCTGAAGGCAAAGCAGGAGGCTGGAGACAAGGAAGAACAAGGCCTGAGCTGAGGCAGAGGCCATGAAGGTAGGAAGCAGGAATAGGGCTGGAACAGATCCCAGAGCCATAACTGAGGTTGGATGAATAGGACTTACTGAGGATGGAGCAGAGGTTACAGGAGAGCAAGGGGACAAAGATGACACTTGGGTCTGGCCAGGGGAGCAGGTGGACAGTGAGGCTCTTTACTGGGAGGAGGCTCAGTGGTGTACGAGGCAGGTAAGATGCTAAGGGCTGTTTTGCACATGGACAGATCAAAAGGTCTTCATGAGACAATTCAGGGGGACATCCAGGAGGAGGCAGGAGAGCAGGCTAGGTGCTCACTTCTGGCTGGAGATGAGGGACTAGAACCTTTCCAGGAAGAGCGGGCAGGTGGGACAAGCAGGCCAGGACAGAGAGAGCACGAAGGATCATGGCCCCCAGCAAAGGAGCAGGCAGTGAACAATCCTGGAGGGTTGTAAGGAGCAACCGGAGAGGGAAGAAACTAACCAGGAAAGAAGAAGATGTAAAGTAAAGGGAATGTCAGGCAGGAGGGAGTAGTCTGTGTCAGATGAGGACTGAAATGTTATCCTCAGGCCTCAGCAATGAGCAGGTGGGTCTTCAGTGACCTTGTCCAGAACCACTGGAGGACCATAGGAGGTAGGCAGTCAGACGTGACTCCGTTGAGGATGGAGTGGAAGGTAAGGGACTGAGCCAATGGGTACCACAAGTCTCAGCTATAAAAAGGATGAGAGATACATATGTGGAATGTAAACTAACACAGGGACAGAAAGAACTGTTTGGTGGTTACCAGGGGCAAGGGGGTTGGGGGGTTGGGCACAAGGGGTGAAGGGAGGCATTTATATGGTGACTGACAGACAATAACGTACAACTAAAATCTCACAATGTTATAAACTATTAAGACATCAATTTAAAAAAAACGATGAGGGGCCAGCCCGGCGGCGCAGCGGTTGAGTGCGTGTGCTCCGCTTCAGTGGCCCGAGGGTTCGCAAGTTCAGATCCTGGGCACGCACCAACGCACCGCTTGTCCAGCCATGCTGTGGCGGCGTCCCATATAAAATAGAGGAAGATGGGCACGATGTTAGCCCAGGGCCGGTCTTCCTCGGCAAAAAGAGGAGGATTGGCATGGATGTTAGCTCAGGGCTGATCTTCCTCACAAAACTAAAATAAAATTAAGAAAAAAGGATGAGAGATAATTCAAGAGAGCTTGATGCAGGGTGTGGTTGTGTGTGTGTTTAGAGATGATAAAACGTGTTAATGCTGCCAGGGAAGGAAGGGAGGGAGAGACTGAACCAGAAACACAAGAAAGCAGTTTCCTGAGGGGATGGGGAGAGGGGGACCCTCACCTCAGAGGCTCTCATTCACCCAATAAGTGACTTCTGAGTCAGGGCCTGTGATGGGAGAGGGAGCCATAGCCCAGAGGTCTCCCCGAAGGTCCAGACCCACTGGCCTGAGTCACATTTCCCCCTGAGTTCCAGCTCATAAGACTCCTTGCTTATCTCTGCCAAAACAGTCATCACCCACCAACTGCTCCTCTTTCCTGTCCCCATCTCAGGGGTGACTCCATCATCCCCAAGTCCTCTAGGCCAGAGTTCTCAGTCTTGTCCTGGACACCTCCTCATCCCACAGCCCATCAAGCCCCATATTCTGTTCTTTCTGCCTCCTGAATCTCTGCCTTATCCCCTTGGCCTCTGGCCTAATCCAGGCTCCATCCTCTCCTGCCTGGGTCCCTGCCCAAGCCGCCTTCTGGGCTACTGGCTTCCAGTCTCATTCCTCCAGTTCTGGCTTCAGCTCTGACCCAGTCCTCCCCTGCTCTAAACCCTGCCATGGCTCCCTACTGCACACACACACACACACACACACACACACACACACACACACACACCCTTCTCCCCTACCCCCCACCCGCTCCACAAGACAAACTCCAAGCTCCTCAGCCTGGCCTCTGCTCACCTTTTCATCCTCTTCCAGCCTCACAGTTACCCAAGGCAACATGGGTCTGACTGGCCTTGCGCCTGGGCACTACAGTAATACTCCTGCATGCCTCTCTGTCTTTGCTCATGCTGAAACACTCTCCTCACACGCTCTCCTCCACATTTGCTTGGCACCTTCTTCTCCTCCAAGACCCAGCTCCAACAGCTCCTCCTCTGAAAACCCTTTCCTGACCACACCAAACCAAAAGAAAAGTCTCCTGGACTCCCCACCTCTACACACCCCTGCCCATCAATGTGTCGGTCTGTCCTCCCATCTGACCCGGGCTGCTTGAGGGCAGGGCCCAGGGCTGACTCCTCTTGGTCACCACCATCGCCCAGCACGAGACCTGGCACACCGGAAGCCTCAGGAAATTTAAGTAATGTGTGGGTGAGGGTGTGCATGAGCGAGTGTGAGTGAGTGGCTATACGAGGAAATCAGTGAGTGAGGGAATTAACGAGGGCAGGAAGGACTGAACGGATGCGTGAGCAGGACAAGCAGGGGCAGACGAGAATCAGGTGCGGGGTGGGAGGAGTGGAATGGCTGAATATCTGAGATTGTGCATCCCGAGCTCAGTTTCTCCAACAAAGCAAAATGGATGGTCGCCCCGGCTAAGCTCCCCTCTCTGCCTCGAGCCTCACCAAGCCCCACTGTTTCCCGTCCAACATATGTCCAAAATCCCAATACCAGGCGTGCTGGAAAGGGCTTACCGGACCGGATCCGCAGAACCTGTTCCCTCACGAGCCCGCTCCAGTCTCTGTGGAGCGGACTTGCTTTCCCACCCCGCAGGTTCCCGGCCTATTGGCAGCCTGGCAGGACTGGCGTCTTCGAGAGCCTATCGCTGTCCGACTTGGCCCGTGGCCCCGCCTACCGGAGAACGCCTCCTGTGTGGCCGCGGGAGGTAGGAGGCGGAACGTGTCTATTGGCTGGATGATAATGACTGACGTCACAGGTAGCTTATCACAGCTAGACACTGGAGGACTCCCGTGTCAGACCCGCCTCCGGAAAGACAAGACTGGGGGGTAGTTGTGGGCGCGGTAGACTGCAGACGGGCCATGAATGGGGTTTTTGGCGGCACGTACCTGGGCTCTTCGCTGGCCTGAGCCTGTCCTGAGGGAGGATGAGGACTTCAGTCCAGACTCCTAGGTCCTGAGGGAGGAGGGGACTGAGGACCCGAGAGAAGGGACTAGGGACCAGAGGGAGGAGGGACTCGGGGCCGAGACCTCTGGGTCTGAGGTAGGAAGCTGAACACCTGAACTGGATCTTGAGGGAGAAGGGAGCTGGAAACCTAAAGGGTCCGGGTCTAGGTACGGGGACTCCTGGGTCCCAAGAGTCACTGGCATGCCCAGGGATGACAGATTTGGGATTCAGGATTTTTTATGGCTATTTAGGGGATTGGAGCCTGGTCTTGTCCCCAGGCAACAGTTCTGGGTCCTGAGGTGGGGCTTGGACTAGAGATGAAGAAGAGGCATAGAGGAAGCTCTGGCCTCAATATGCCCTTTCCTCATCCCTAAAAGGAAAGCCAAGGGTGGGGCGCTGTCTACCAAAGGAACCCAGAGCAGGAGACTTGAACCTCACGTGGAAACAAAGAGAAAAACACAGATACCAATGGAGAGATTAAAATATTGAAAACAATAATAATAATAATAGAGCTCTCTTGTATGGCGTTTACTGTGGCTAAGCATTTTACATAATTATCTCCTGTCTTCCTCATAACAGCTCTAAGAGATCAGATGATTATTATTATTATTATTATTATAATCCCCATTTTACAAGTGAGAAAATTGACGCCCAGTGAGAGAATCAAGATATATAGATGTAAAGAGACAGGAGAGACATAAAACACAGATGGAAAGAAACAGAAACAAAGATAAAGACAGACAAGCCTAGAGAGAAAATAAAAGGTAGATAAGCAAAAAAAGGAGGCTGAGAGCCAGGACTCCTGGGGGGCGGGGTGGGGGGGTGGGCTAGGGCCTGGGACTCCTGGGTCCTGGGGGAGGAAGGGCCAAGGATGGGGACTTTCAAGTATTTCCTCCCCTGACACAAGATACCAGGCTTGTCCACCCCTTCTTGTTGTGGGTCTTGGGCCTGGTTGGGGTCAAAAATAGTGATTAGTAGGGGGCCTACCTCCTATTAGGAGGTAATAAGAAAATGATTCATGAGGGTGCCCCAGGCCTGGGACGGGCCTTTCCCCCACGGACTCTGTTCTTTGATCTAGATAGATCAGGCCTCAGGGAGGACCAGAGAGTGGCAGGGCCCTGTCTGTCCCTCTCCATCGAAGTGTCTCCATCACTCAGAACTGTCACTGAGGCCCACCCTGGGGAAGGGTGGGCCACTCTGGGGCAGCCACAGCTTTCCTGGTGGGTCTCCATCCCTCTGAGTCTCTTTACTTTCCCCCAGACCTTGAACCAGTGCCTGTCAGAGGTCCCGGCACATTGCAGGGGCTCAGCAAATGCTTATGGGATGGATGGACAAACATCCACACCTCTCTGTACAGCTCTTTCTCTGTCCCCACCCGCTGTCTCTCTCTGTGTCCCCATCACAATTCTCAGCCTCTCCCTGGCCTCACCCATCTCCTCCCACCGTCCCTTTCACCTTGTGTTTCTTCCTAAGCCACTGGGCCCACCATCCCCATTAGGGAGAAACTGAGGCTCATTTTGGAAGGAGTCACTCTCCCAGGGTCACCTGTAGGGCACGTAAAGTAGTAGCTGAGAGCGGGGTTCCAAGATCCCAATACAGACACACTTCTGGCACCACAGAGTCAGAAATGCAAGATCACACCAAACATGTGCCTTCACAACACCTGTTTGGTAGGATCTTAACCTTTGCACCCACACAATCAAAGAATCACACACACAGCACATACAGTCACCTATGAACACAAACATAAACATAAGCACACAATCTCAGAGTCATGGCACTGACAACACACACAGAAATAGCCTATTCCACATGCAAACAGACACCCAAGTTATGCAATTATATGCCCAGCCACTGATAGGCCACTCATCCTATTGCTCCTAGGACCATGAGCAAAGACTTGGTCTCATTTACTATTGTATCCCCAGCAACTAGAACAGATCATCCTCATCATCATCATCATCACCATCAACACAAAATGTTCCCTACGTGCCAGGCACAATTCTAAGCATTTCACAGGAATTAATTCATTCAATCCTCTCAACAACTCTATTCGCAACAACCCGTTTCATAGATGGAAAAATTGAGGGCCAGGGAAGTTTAGTGATTTGCCCAAGGTTTCACAGCCAATAAGAAGCTATCAGGATTTGAACTTAGGTTTTCCGGCTCCGGAGTCCATCACACAAGGCTACCACCACTCAGTCAATAATCCCCGCCTAAATCAAATCAGAAGTACAGAATCTCAACAGCTGAGACCACACCCAACACAGGTGCACAGTGCATAGAATCACAGGACGGCAATATAGATACAAACAGAAAAGACCACTCACATGTCACACCCCCGAACAGGAACATACAAAGAGAGACACATCATGACAATCCCCACACAGACGCACAGCACCCAGAGAGGCACACACCACACGCAGAGACACAACACACCCAAACCCAGACACAGTGACACACCCAGAGCTCCCTGAGTCCATCCTGTTCCAAGCCCATCCTGCTGGGCTGGCCTTCGAGGAAGCAGCAGGCTTAGGATGGGAAGGGGAGGGCCACCTCACTTGTCCGCTCAGCCCAACCGGTTCCACCAGGGCCATGGATGGCACCGCCCGCCTTGTGAAACCCACGTTGGGCAACTGGACCCAGACCTGGCCTGGATGTCCCAAATATTGGATGGAACATATTTATACTTAAAAAGTATTTGTTGTTTATCTGAAATTCAAATGTAACTGGGCATCCTGTATTTTATCTGGCAACCCTATTTGAGAAGGATGGAAGCCAGATGCTCGGAGACCCTGCCATGGTCACTCCTCAGCCCCCAGGCCTCTCCTCCTGCCTGTTGCCCTCCTCCTCACCCCCAAGCAGGCCACCTCACTGCTTCCCTGGTCCTATTTCCTCATCTACATGAATTGCTCTATCTAATTGGGGCCTCCAGGCTGTGTCAGAGTTGGGAGAGGAAACTCTAGGACAACTCAGGCTATCATCCTGAGAGCTCTAGGGTCTTCAGAGATGACTGACCCTCAGTCACCTGTAGCCCATGGTCTGGACAGCTTGGGGGATGGGGCCCTGTGGCTGCCTCCATGGGGCAGAGCCTAGAGATGGAGAGAGATGCTAAGTCAGGAGACAGAGACCCCGGGATAAGGGCAAGAAACACAGAGCTTGGGAGAAGAGAGACTCAGAGATGGGGAGACAGAACCAGAGAAATTGGGAAACAGATTTGCAGAGATGAGGAAAGAAAGAGAGAGAGATTCAGAGCTGGTGAGACAAAGATGCAGAGATCGGGAAGACACTATGCAGAGATGGGACACTAGAACAGAAATGAAGAGATGTTCCCCAGACATTCAGGCTCCCAGACCAAGTGATGGACATGAACAGGCAAGATGCTGAATGCTGCCCATAGGTCTGGGGACAATGACAGCAAACCATCTGGGTGGTGCCAGGAGACCAAGGTTCAGGTCCCTCCTGGGGTGGAGGGAAAGCTGGGATCCCAGGCCAGCAGGGTGATCCATGTGCTGTCACCCCATACCCATACCCAGTGGGGTGATGACAGCACCTTCTCTGCAGGTGACACCCCAATTTTCGGGTGCCTCCTACATTTTTGGGGTGACACCCGTGCTAGGAACCCCACCCGGATCTAACTCTGCTTCCCTCACTGAGTCACCTCTAACCCCGCCAGGCCTGTTGGGGGCAGACTGTGGAGACTCAGGCAGCCAGGCCCCCAGCTCTTTCAGCCCTCAGGAACCCAGCAATCTGGAATCCCAGGACCCCTACCCAACTCAGGGATGCAGCCTAGCCTAACCCAAGAGTCTGGACCCCCAGCCTCCTCCTCCCTCAGCCCCAGGAATCTGAGCCCCCTCTCCCTCCTCTATTAGGGACCAGAGATCAGGCTCCCAGCCCCACTCCTCCCTCAGACCCAGGAGTCCAGGCCCCCAGTCCTCTGCTCTATTAGGACCTAGGAGGTTCTGGGTCACCTCCACCTCCTTCAGGAACCACAGCTTCTCAGTTCCCAGCCTTCTACCTTCCCAATATGGAGGTGGGGTGAGGTGTGTTTATTTACTTTGGTTCCAGCATGAGTCACCCCCAAAACACACTGCCCCCCACCATGTGCCCAGTGGCCCTGAATGGGAGGACAATGCCCCCTCTCCCAGGGATGTGGGGACCTCACTAAGGATGCTGCAAGAGGCCTGGAAGGGGAGCCCACTCTCTCCCACACCACTGGCCATTCTCCTCTACCCTCTACCCTCTCGATGGCTGTGGTGGCCATGCCTCCACCTACCTGCCCCTCTACCTTTCTATCCTTGTGTCTCTCTTCTCCAAATCTGTCTCTCCCTTTCTTGTTAATTCTTCCCAGATCTTTGTGCCTCTCTGGCTTGGCATCTCTGTCTCCACCTCTCTGAATCTCCTTGTCTCTCTCTCCCATCTTGGCCTCCCCTTATGTCTCTATGTCCCCCATTCCTGTCCCATCTCTCTCTCTCCCTCTTTTGGTCTCTGTGCTTTGACCCAGCTGTGCCCCTTGCACGTTCCTTCTGCCTTCTCCCCCCATCTCTCTGTTTCTCTCCGCCCACTCCCCTTTCTATCTCCACTGTCTTGTCCCTGGATCCCCTACCCCACAATTTCCTTGGTCCTATGAGGTGAGGCAGAAGGGGAAGGTGGGGGGATGGAGGATGGAGAGGGAGGGAGGGGAAGTCCCAGTTGGGGAAGACCGGCTTGGCTCCCTGGGCATCTCTGTCAGAGCTCCGCCCAGGGCCCCATGGCCTGCCCAATATAAGCAGCTCCTAGCTGAGACTGAGAACTCAGTGCCAGTGTCACCCACACCTCCATCATCGCCATCGCAGTCCTGCAAGAAGGAGCATCCGCCTGCAGCCTTCTGTTCTGAAGTCGGTGCCTCTGCTCTGAGGTCAGTGCCTCTGCTCTGTTCTTTTCCGCCCCACTCCACTCACATCTGTCTCCTCGCACATCTCTGACTGTCTATCTCTCTGGACATCCCTGTCTTTCTCAAAGTCCCCTGTATCCCCCCTTCTCAATCTGAGTGGTGCTGGGTTGAATTTGGAAGTCCTGGGGTCCAGCGCCGCCTCTACTAACCCCCTTGGCCTAGGCCATCAGATGTAGGGCATTTCTCTTCACCTCCCTGAGCCTCAGTGTTCTGCCTATGAAATGGGCTTGCAGAGCCAAAGTGCTGGGCAGCTGGGAGCGTTACTGGTGGCATCTCTATGGGCACCTGGCTCTAATCTCTTTCTCTCTTTGTCTCTGACTCTGCCTGTCTCTGCCTCTTGGTCTCTCCAGCTCTGCATCTGATATAAGGAGGGTCCTCTGGGGTCTGTCGGGCAGCTGTACAGAGATGGGCGAGTTTCTCGCCCCACCCCATACATCCCTACTCCAGTCTCTCTTGGCTGGCAGGCTGACTTGGCCTCTTTCTCCCCAGCTCCCTTCCCCCTGAGAACCCAGCCCCCAGTGCCCGTGCCCCCACCCCTCCCTTCCCCTAGTATCCAGCATCCCTTGGACTCTGCCAGTGTCTCTGCCGTTGTCACCGCTGCCACCTCTGCCGTCCCCAACGCCACCTCCTCAGGGCCAGCAAGATGCAGTTTGAGATGCGAGACAACGTGAAAGGCAAAGGTGGGATCGCTGGATGGACCAGCCACCCTTCCAGTCCTTGGAACCTGGCCTCTTCCCTCCCTGGGGCACACTGGCTTCGAAGACAGATGGCACCTGCTTGCACCCCAGAGGCCCCAAAATGCAGGAACCCAGCACCCCAGGCCCAGACGTGGAGGAGGCAGCGGCATGTCCCGGCCACACCCAGATGTGGCGCCCACTCTTCCCCAGACGCGCAGGAGCCCCCCACCCCAGCTCAACCAGATGTGCAGGAGGCAGCGGCAACAGGGACAGACTGGGGTGTTGATGCCCAGATGTGGCAGAAAGGAAGGGAGAAGCACAGTGGTGTCACCTAAGTGGGCGGCCTGGCGGCCCCGCCCAGACTGCCCGGCAGAGGGAGGGGTGGCAGGGGTGCAGGGCCCGGGAGGCGCTGCGAGGCTGCCCGCTGACCCCTGTCCCCCACCTCCGCAGCCATGTCTTACCCAGTGACCAGCCAGCCCCAGTGTGCCAGCAGCAGCTACCAGACCCAGCTCAGTGACTGGCACACCGGTCTCATGGACTGCTGCAACGACATGCCCATCTGTGAGTGCCCCCAGGCGGGGGGAGAGCGGCAGGGGAGGGGTCATCTCCAGCCCCCTCGGACGCCCTACTAACCCTGCTCCCACCTCCCTTCCACGGATCCTGAATTCCTACTCTCTAACCCTCACCCCTTCCTCGAATGCCCAGCACCCCCTAGGATTCTGACCTCACACCTTCCAACTTCCCCTCCGACCGTCAAACCTCCCCCCACTTGGACCCTCAACTTTCTTAGTTGTGGCCCCAACTGCCCCTTCAAACCCTATTTCCCAATCTCTAAACCACCCCCTCCTCGGACCCCTAATTCCCTCTGGCACCTTTACTTCACTTCCTCCGACACTCAATTCCCTCGGGGACCCTCATCCTGGCTCCGCGGACCCTTAGCCTCACCCCTCCCCGAGGCGGAGCGGGCAGAAGGCCCCGCGGGCCCCGCCCTGACCGCCCCGCGCCCGCCGCAGGTCTGTGCGGCACCTTCGTCCCTCTGTGCCTCGCCTGCCGCATCTCCGACGACTTCGGCGAGTGCTGCTGCACGCCCTACCTGCCCGGAGGCCTGAACTCCCTCCGCACCGGCATGCGCGAGCGCTACCGCATCCAGGTGCCAGCGGGGTCCTCCTCCCGCGGGAGCAGGGGCTGGGGACTGGCCTGCTGGGACCCAAGGCGGGCTCCTAACCTCTCTCCCCCACATTCTAGGGGACAGTCGGGAAGGACTGGGCGGCCCTCACCTTTTGTTTGCCCTGCGCCCTCTGTCAGATGGCGCGGGAACTGAAGATTCGAGAGTAAAGAAGTTCCCCCCTCCCCCCTCCTTTTCCACCTGTCACGCCTGGCCCCCACTGCCCCCTCCTAGGAGGACCTGCTCCTCCGCCCTATTCCGCCACCAGAAATACACCCACAATAAAAACCTGAAAACCAACTCCGCCTACATCCTTTCTGTCCCAGGGAAGGAATCTGGGTGGAGAAGGAGGTTTGGCGAGGGAGGAGGGAACACGGAGAAGATACCTAGGTGTGGAGGGAGGAGTCCCAGGGTCGAGTGAGGTCCTTGACCCCAACCTGCTGTGGTATGACTTTGGCAAGTCTCTTTCCTCTCTAAGCCAGGGAGTCCTCGCTAACAATAAAACCACTCACCCCTTAGCAGCCTACCTGAAGCTCTGCCCAGATACCAAAAATAAGCAAAAGCAGAAAGTCTGTCTTTTTTTTTTTTATATAATTTTATTTATTTATTTTTTCCCCCAAAGCCCCAGTATATAGTTGTATGTCATAGCTGCACGTCCTTCTAGTTGCTGTATGTGGGACACGGCCCCAGCGTGGCCGGAGAAGCAGTGCATCGGTGCACACCCGGGATCTGAACCCCGGGCCACCAGCAGCGGAGCGCCTGCACTTAACTGCTAAGCCATGGGGCCAGCCCCAGAAAGTCTGTCTTGGTAGAGTCCAGACATTCAAGTTCAAAGAAAAATTTTAGGAGAGCCTTTCTGCTCATTCACAACCTACGGACTCTTGGCCTACATAGAATTCTAACATGTTTGGGAGTCCTTTGCCTCCAGTGCAGAGAAGTGCCAGGTTAAGGCTCTCTGGAGCTGAAAGGAATCCATAAGGATCATCCAGTTCAATCCACCCTCTTTGCTGCAAAAGCAACTAGCAGATTAGAAAATGTCCTGGTCTCCAAATTGGACAGACCTGGGATCCAATCTTGACTCTTGCCACTTACTGTGTTATCTTTGTGAATTAATAAACCGTTCTGAGCTTGTTTCCTCCTCTGAAGATAATCCCTAATATGTCATATGGCTACTGTGACAGCAAGAGATGGAACAGATGGAAAGGCCAAAGAGTAAACTCAATAAACTGTTGCTGTTAATATTATTATTATATTACATATAATAATATAACTATTCTAATATTAATATATTATTTATATTATTTGTATTATTTGCTGTTATCCTTCCCTCTCTCTCTCTGGATCTGTGTATTGAACCATTGAGTGACATCCTCACTTGGAATATCTCATAAGCATCTCAAATTTAACATGTCCAAAACCTAACTCCTGTGTCCCCCCAAACCTGCTCTTCCCACAGTCTTCCCCATCTCAGGAAATAGCAAACCCCATCCTTCCAGTTGCTCAGTAACTTTCCTTCTCACTCAGTGTTCAATCTGTCCACAAATTCTGTTCATTTGACCTTGAGAATATATCCAGAATCACACTTCTCCCCACTCCACTGCCCCCACCTTGCTCCAGCCACCCTTGTCTTCAGCCTAAATGAATGCAGGAGCTCCTCGCTGGGCTCCTGCCCTACACCCACCCCTTAGTCTCTTACCTGCAGAGGAGCCCAGTGAACACCTGAGTTAGGTCACATCCCTCCTGTGCTCAGACCCTTCTCATGGCTCCTCCCTCACAAACACCAGACTCCTCCCACGGCTCAAGGACCTGTATGATCTACGTCTTGTTCCCTCTCTGACCTCATCTCCTCCTTATTCCTCCACTCCAACCACATAAGGGCCTTTGCACTGGCTGTTCCTTCAACTTGGAATTCTCTTCCCTCAGATGTCCCTATGGCTCATTCCTTCACTTCTGCTCACATGTCATCTTATGAGAGAGGCCTTCCCTTCCTACCTTACATTAAAGAGCAAGTACCCCTCCCCCCTTTCCTGCCTTGTCCTTCTGGTCATCTCCCAACATACCACATCATCTACTTACTATTGGGCTCCGCACTGGCTTGTCAGCTCCATGAGGGTAGGGACCTTGTTCACCGTTGTGTCCCCACACCTAGAACAGTGTGGGACCCATTCTAGGTGGAGACAGTGAGTGACCACAGGTGGGGAACACAGGCTTAGAAACAGGCAGTGATTTTAGAGGTAATGTGTGAGGGGCAACAGAGAGTCAGACAGGTTGCGTCAGAATCTGAGCTTGCCTATTAATCAGCCCTGAGTTCTTAGGCAAGGAACTTAGCTTCTAAATCCACAAAAGAGAGGAACAAACTTGGACCTCCCAGCGGTGATGTTGGGAAGATTAAAAGCCTCATGCTGAGCACCCAGCACAGTGCCCACAGTGCTGTAGGCCCTTGGTAAAATTTCCCCCCTTTTCTTGTAGTCCGTAGGGCGTCGGTGGCCACACCCGGGCTAGAACCCAGGCCTCTAGGCTCCCATGCCCAGGCTTTCTCTCTCTACCATGAACTTTGCATTCAGGTGAATGGAAACCAGGGAGAGGTGACAGCTGAAGGGCTGACGTGGAGAGGGGGAACACGTGCTATGGGGCTTTTGTACCGGGGCATCTGCACAGCAGTGACAGGAGTTGGAGGGAGAGTGGCTCTGCGTCCCAGAGAAGAGGTCCAGTCACAGTACAAATGCTCTGCTGAGGAAGGCAAAGTCACATGGTGACAGCTAGGAAGAGATCTCACCAAAGGGCCTGAGCACACCATGGAGGCATCTCAAAGACCCACCTTAGCTCCTTCCTGATCATGCAGGGTGAACTCTCCACTGGCCCCAGGACTCTCTGAGGCAGCACATCCCAATGCTGGTTAGCTCCCCAGTTGGGAAATTCTGCCTTATCCCCAGCAGAAACCAGCCATTTTGAACACCTGTCCCTAGTGCCCACTCTGCACTGGGACAGCTCTCAGCTGGGTCTACCTAAATAAAGGGTCCTCTCCTCGGGCAGTAGAAGAGCCTGCTGGTCAGGCATGTGGATTTGAGGGTCAGACAGCCTGGATTCAAATGGCAGCTATCACTCAACACCTAAATGTCTATGAACTTTTGTTTTCTCATCTGCAAAATAGGGATTACATGATACCTACCTCATACGGTGGTTGGAAAGATCAAATGAAACCACAGCAGTAACATGCCAGGCAAACTGTCTAGCATACGGTACTCAGTAAACACAAGTTCACAGTCACATCTCGGAGGTTCAGTACTACCCTCAGCTCAGGAAGACAAAACACACAAGGGCAGAATAATCCCTTAAGTTGCCTGGAAGGTCTGAAAGCTCTATGATATTCACAGACCATACTGGACAGTGACCCACACACCCGCTAAGTCGCACTCACGGCCGTGTCCTTGGCTGAACATCAGATGAAGCAGTCAGCTTGCACCTAGGGGCCAGCTCGTACAGAAAGGTACACAGCAAGATTCCCAGGCTGAGCGAGGCCGCCTGAGGGGACAGAGATCTCCCGCTCCCACTCCCCTCCCGCCAGGGCTCTTGCTTGCCCAGGGACTGGCAGATAAAGGCTCCCAGAATTAAACCCGAACCCGGGACTAAGGCAGTCTGCTTTCCCTCCTGAGACAAACTGGGGTCTCCCTGCGACAGAGATCGGGGGAAGGAAGGGTCAAAGGGCTCACTGCCCTGCAGTCCCCTTGGCTCGTCCCTTCTGGGGAACAAAAGCTTCTGTAGTGGCCCCACCCCAACTCCTGCCTGGAAGGGACAGCAAGGAGCCAGGCCCAGGCCACTTGGCTTGGAGGGGGGACCATGATAAGGGCATTTATCCAGTATATTCAGCGCTTGGGTGCTGGTTCAGAGAGCCAAGACACCCCATCTCTCTCATGCAGACGGCGCATGGACACCAGTATTCCCCACACTCTTTATTTGATGCGTCCATCACTCCCCCTCTTTTGGATGGCCTCTTAGACTGAGGCCCCCAGCAGAGGGGAAGACAGAGGACCCAGCTCCCCAAGGTCAAGGCAGCTGGGGGATGGAGTCTTGGGAAAGGAGAGTCCCAAGTTCAAAATGGCTAGAAGCGGGGGGCCCTCAAGAAGAGGAGCTCAGAAGTCCAAGGTGGTAGCTGGAGTAGGGGGCAGCCCCTGCAGGGAGCCCAGAAGTCTTCAAGGCAACATTGTCTGGGAACAGAGCTGTACATTGATCAACTCCCACATTTCTATCTCCAACGTTGGTATCCCCCCATGCCCCACTGCGCCTCGGGCGGCATCTCAGGCAGCAGCTTTGTCTCCTCGAGCTCCCTCTAAGTCGGGTGACCCTGGTCCTGGGGTCAGGTAACACCCCTGAGCTTTGCCCCTCCAGCCTAGGGGTGGCAGCAGCAGCCTCCTTCTCACTTGCTCCTGGGCTGCCTCACTGTCCCGCTTCTAATCAGCTCTGTCCTTCACCACTACAGCCAATCCCCTGCACTCAGTTCCTTCTGGTGAAACACTCGGAGCGGTTTCTCTTAACCTCATTAGACCTAACTTAAGAAATGCCTAAAGGACATCTCAAGTCTAAAACTGGACTCCTGATCTTTCCCACAAGCCCCAGTCAGCCCCATCTTAATAAACGACCGCACCGTCCACCCACAGTTCAGGCCACAAAGTTGGGGTCATCCTGGATTCCTCCCCTCCCTCACCCTGACATCCACACCATTGTTACAGCCTTCCACATACACCCTGCGTTTGTCCCTGACTTTCCCTCTCACGGCCACCACCCTGATCCGACCCATTGTCATCTCGTGTCCCCCTGCTGCCTCTCTCACCCTCTGCAATCCCTTCCCCACACCACAGCTGAGTGACCTCTTAAACAGGTACATCGGATCCTGTCATTCCCCCTCATAAAACTGTCCAACGGCTTCCCACGGCCCTGAGAATAAAACCCCAAAGCCATCTGGGGCCCACAGGTCCTGGGTGATCCGGCCCCTGCCTGTCCCCAACCTCATCTCTTCACACTCGGCCTGGGTCACATTGGTCAGTTTTCTGTTCCTTCCAATAAAACGAGCTGGTTCCCACCTCAGGGCCTTTGTCCTTGCAGTTCCCTCCGCCTGGAACCCACTTCCTACAGCTCTTCCCATGGCCAGTTCCTGCTCAGCCTTTGAGCCTAGCTTCTCGGAAGGCCCAACTGACTGACTTTACTGCGGTCTCTCACAGCCACATCCTGTTGACATCTCACGGCACTTCTCCCTCTCTGAAATGATCTTACTCGTCTGTGTGTGCATGTGTGTGTTGATTGTC